TCTTTGTTACATTACCCTTGATCATGCCCTACCAGGCCTCCCACACCCACCTCCCCACCAATTTGGATCACTTGTTGTCAGAGACAATTCTTGCTCATTAAAGTTTACATAGATTTAACATTAAAATGCTTTTAAAAAAAAAGAAAAGAAATAAAATGCTACCTTCGGTTCAAGTCTTTCTACTGCTGCAGTTGAACAAAGTCTGAATGCCCCACTTCATGTGACTGCCGGATACCATCTAATGACTCTAAGTCACATACACTCCCCTCTGCCCTCTGGTCTCCGACTGTGACTCACTGTGGTGGTGGCGTCGTAACACGTCCACAAGCTCTTTATATTTCTACCTTCAGAGGACACAGTGGAATTCCTTGAGCGCGAGGTGTGCTTAGCAACTGACTTCTAATGTGGAGAGTAAAGCTGAGTGTCCTTTAGGAGATGACTAAAACCCAAGCGAAACCCACTGCCATCAGAGGGGACTCAAGCAACCCTCTAGAGATCACAAGGGGCTGGCAGAATTCAATAGGGAAAACCCGTATTTTCACTCAAAAAAAAACAACAACAACCACCACTTGCCTTCCATTTCTATGCCAACCTACGATCAGGAGGTATTTTCCTAAGTGCCAGTACATTATTTCTCGAAAACCAAAAAAGCTTCCATACAAAAACAATTAGCATATGTGCTTACAAGATGACCTTCCAAGGGGCCCAGGCAGTTGGGCGAAAAACCTAGAGAGTTAGTTGTGTGAAAAACCAGTAGCATCTTTTCCAACACATGGTGCCAGGGCGATCTGGCCACCCACAGGGGAAAGGCCTCTACCACACACCACACCGACACGACTCAAACTGGGCCATCGGCATAAGTGTGAAGCACGGAAGCAAAAAGTACTAACGGCCTTGGGTGAAGCAATGGTTTCTCAGATACTGCACCACAAGCAAAGGGGACTTCATCAGAATTTAAACTTTGTTTTAGGGTCCAGAGTCACCACAGAGAAAGGAAACAGGAGTGGGTGGAGCGAGTGGCTTGTGATCAGCTGTGAACCTGAAAGCTAATTGCTGGCACCCACCCAGGGGGCTCCACAAGAGATCGGGCCTGGGGAACTGCATCTCTCTGACCAAGCCCAGAGGCAGGAAGCTCTATGTACCCCGTCTGAAGGGCCATAAGCAGTCGGACAGGAGGAAGTGGCAGTGTGAGCAACAGGGGTGATAAGGAATGGTCAAGAGAGGATCGTCAGGTTTTCCACAGTAAAAAATCCTGCCAGGAAGTGACTAACCCGGACAGCACTACGCAACCCAGCCAGACCACCCACACGTACTGGGAATCCGCTAAACCGGAAACCCCGTTTATGAACAGAAGATGGCAGACTTAACTGGAGAGTCTGACCGTATTAAATGACAGAATCAGTAATTCTCTGATGAAGCCTGACCTTTTTTTTTAAAGTCAGATATTATGTTTTCATGTTCATATTCCATTGTTCTAAATCGTATATAGCTCTTACTTCATAAAGACACGGAAAATTATTTGGGACTTTATTTTTCCCCCCATGTCATGTTTTTAACTTTCCAACCTGCAAAGAGGGTTTTCCCAGTCAGCATTTCAGCAAAGATGCAGCCTGCAGCCCACATGTCAATGGCTTTAGTGTAATTATTGGGCGACAGTAAGAGACGTGGAGATCTGTACCATTTAGTAACCAATCCTTCAGAAAGATGACCCTAAAAAGAGAAACCAAAAAATACTTCAACATTGCAAAAGAACAGCACAGAAGACTTGATTTATTAACGAACTCTTTACCTAAAAATACAGTGATTGCGAAATCCTACCACAATACAATTGGTTTCTAAAGCCTGTTTTCAAAGCTCAGACATTTTTGGAGGCTGAATGCAGTTAACCCTTCCCCAGGCTGTATCATTACATACAACCACAGTCCCATGAAGTCTGCTGACCAAGAAGCTTAAGAATTTAGTGCCAACTCTGGGTCATGCATTCAAAACACACATCAGAAGCGAAGCTAGGAACAGGTAACGGGAGGGGCAGAGGGGAGGGGCGAGTACTAGACATTCATAAACTAATGTCAACCTCCTCACTGACAACCCAAGGTGCCTGGTTCTACTGGCTATCTCATTCTCTACCAATCTACTTTAATACTTTTACACTCTAGCCACTGTTACCCTTAAAAAAATGATATACTCATGCATTCCATTTTAGTACTCATATTAAAATGTTTAAAGTATTAAGACAAACAATGTGAGATGATTCATATGAATGCAACAGTTTACTTGTTTGCTTGATTGTTTTAGACTGATGCTGTGGTCCCTAAGGTCATCCGAATGGCTTAGGTCTGACTGCTAACCTAAGACTGGTGGCCCTAACACATCAAGTAGAACCATGGGAGAGGTGGTCTGGTAATCTACTTTCATTAAAGATTACAGTAAGGCAAAGAGAAGGCAACATACAGTAAGACGAAGGTTGCCAAAAAATGAACTTGGGGGAATAAACATGAATTGGGGGGGTGCACAAGTTGAGTCTGGAGTCAAGAAAGCCCTACAGAGCAGAACTACTGTACAGCCGAACTACTGAGGCCCCCATGAGTCCAATCAACTCAACCAACAGCATGGGAAGACCAGCAGAGCTGACGGGGCTCACGACAAGCGAAGCAGCTACACGTGTACAGTTTACATGCCATGACTCCTTTTAGCTACCCTTACTACCAATTTCATGTTTATAGCGATTTGGATGTCACACTGAAAAGTAACTAAATAAGTAGCTCAGAAGGCACTGCCACGGAGTGAATTCTGACTCTTGTGACCTACAGGAGAGAGGGGAGCTGCTCCCGTGGGTTTCCAAGGCTGTAAACCTTTAAGTGAGTTGAAAGCCTCATCTTTTTCCCATGAGCAGCTGGGGGGGCGCGGGGGGTGGGCGCGGTTTCAAACTGATGACTTTGTGGTTAGCAGACACTCGCCCCTCTAGGGTATCTTTCAAATTAAATTAGGTTTACTTACTTAAATAAGGCACAACTAAACAGTACAGACTCAGAGAGAGAAAAATCTACCTTCTGGTAGGACCACACTTAGATCTCCACCAGATAAAAGAGATTTCACTTTTAAACCCATACACCTTTGGGAATTTGTATTTAGTTAGGATCCATTCCACTTTAGTTTTAAACACAAGGAGATTGTGAAAGCGTACATCTCTATGAACTAGCCGTGTTTAATACAACTGACCAAAAATATCCTGCCACCATATACAAAGGACATACAAGTGCCTATCTAGTTGGCAATGTCTATCAGTTTTAAGGCCTGTTTCAACTTGGTTCACACTTACCTTGTGGGAATAATGGGGATCCATGATCCGTGCAAGGCCAAAGTCCCCTATCTTCAGCACCAAGTCTTCAGTATTAATGAAAAGATTAGCTGGTTTGAGATCTCTGTGCAGTACATTTGCAGAGTGAATATACTTGAGCCCCCGTAGCAGCTGATACATGAAAAGCCTGGCATGCTCCTCCAGTAAGGGGCCCTGCTCCAGCACGTTCGCCAAGTCTGTCTCCATGTACTCCTGAACAATGTACACACTGCTCAGTTCCGTAAGGGAGCCCACATCATCGGTTAACTGGCTTCCACTGGGACCAAGAATTTCAAACACTTTCACAATGTTATCATGGTCTAATCTTCTAATAATTTTGATTTCACGCAGAGCATGTTTGACACTCTGGGGATCAGTAAGGACAATTTTCTTGATGGCTACTCTTTTGTCACAGTCATTGTCTACAGCACAAAAAACCAAGCCATTGCCTCCACAACCCAATGGTTTTAAGTCCATGTACCTAGAGCCCAGATCAAAACCATGAATGTTCATGAGACTTTCAAATTTCTCTGCCATTTTCAAACCCCTATTCTTGCCTTTTCCTTTCCAGCTGTTGAACGTGTGTAAACAAGGAAGGGAACTGGCATCAAAAGGAAAGATCTCTCAACAAAAGGGGAGAAGAAAAATGATTTTGCTTCCACAGCAAGATGGTTTCTTGATGTTCATTGCATATGCCAACCAGGCCCGTTGAGTTCCCCTTAGAATTAAAGCTCAAAAGGCTCTACTCATACTGAGAATGAAAAAGATTGCAGTACTCATAGTTCAAGAAAGGGGCAGCAACTCTGCAGACATTTTAAAAGAAAACACTCAAGAAACTCAATCGGAATGAAATGACATACTATGCACTCAGATGTACGGTGCTACACGCTTTAACTAAAATGTGAATAAATATGCACACGACAGGCTTCTACGAACATTCTCCTCACAGTGCAGATACATTCAGTGTTGGACTGGTCCTGAGCAGCATCTTTCTAAGGTGCTGGTGAGCACGAGTTCTGTTTTTGCTTCTTTTCTTCCTTTGTTGCTGTGTGTTTCCACAGGAAGAGCTGGCTGCTGTTGGTTAACAGATGTCTTCTGTTAGTGATCAGGTGGCTCCAGCTCACCACAATCACAATCAAAGCTACCGTCCATCTTACTCCGATACGCCCTAGGGGGGAGAAGAAGAAACAGAGTCAGCACGGCAGGAAGTGCACTAGAAAATGCCACGAATGCCAACCACCTACTACATATATATTTACCACAAGAAAAGGAGAATGCCAACAACTAGGCCTTTAGTACTAAACTACTACTGGCATATTATTTTCACTTAGCCCACCGACAGCCGTCAGGTGAACTCCAACCCAAAGTGATCCTCCATAGGGTTTCTGATGGTCAATCTTTTGGGGCGCAGACAGCTTCATCTTTTTCTCAACTGGTATCCAACTGACAGGCATGCTTAATTAATAAATAAGCATGCTCTTCAACAAATTAACAACTGCCCTGCAGACTTATGCAGAACTATTTTACCTGTCAAAAAATCCTATAAAGATGGCCCTACTCGACACCTTCATGAGGAGATTACTAAAGATACGAGTGCTATAGCAATGTGTGATGAAGAAAGTGTGGCTGTCAGAAAGAATAACGCCTGGGGTCTTTACGGTGTCTTTCAAAACAAGTAGTCACCTAAGTCCACACGGAAGAAGTACACCAGACTGTGTGATCCAAGGATTATATATCAGAATCCAAATCTGGAGGTGGAAACAGCATCAGAGCTTAAATATTCAACACCCAGTTTGCAGAAGGCTATAGAGGGCAATGGAAGCCCAAAATCTATTTCCAGTGGCCCTGCAAGGATTAAGCCTCTGACCATAGTCTAGAGAAGTGAATAGACTTTCTATCAGACAGAGAACACTGTAAAGTCGACTGTGGCAGACACAGGTGGGCTAAAATGTAACACCTTGTCATTTGATCCCCGTTTTGACCCATTTTGAATTTGTTCCACTTTTTAATATTGTATGCTTTCTTTTCAATTGAAACTTTCCTCTTTTGTCAGTGTTAGGGTTTTGTTTTGTTTATATGTTTCTTCGGTATATAAAATCCAGGATAGGTAAATATACAGTCAGTAACTGAATAAATAATTACCTAAGAACATGGCTGGGGAGGTTGGGGGAGATGAGGGGCTAACAACAATGAGTATGAGAAAGAAGAAAATGTTCCCCAAAAAGGAGAGTGTTCTAAAATTATTGTGGTGATAATTGTACAACAACCCTTCTTAATATGACTGAAGTATTTTATTCATTATTTGATATGTTAATTATATCCTAATCATAAAAACTTCTAAAAAAAACAGATGGGGGAGTGTCCTATTAAGAATTCTGTATATTAAAAAATATATATTAGTTGGTGTTTAATGGAAGATACAATTTAATGAGCCTAAAAGAATCTAGTAGTAAAGTTAGGTCTAGAGCATGCATGAACATATGTGAGTTACTTCTAACATGAGTAGCTAGTTTTGATTACTAGATATTAGTAAAGGTGCCCTGGTGGGGCCTGGTGGCATAGTGGTTATGCGCTGATCTATGACCAGGCTGTGATCCACAAGGTCAGCAGTTCAAAACCTCCAGCCTGCTCCGCAGGAGAAAGACGGGGCCTTTCTACTCCTGTCAACAGTCACCTCTTGGAAATGCACAGGGACAGTTCTACCCTGCCCTCTAGGGCAGCCATGAAGCCGAGCAGCATCGCAGCGACTGGGCGGCAGCGAGTTTGGAGAGTGGTTTGGGTGGCGCATGGGAAAGCATTGGGCTACTGATGGCATGGTCAGAGATCACACCGACCAGCTGCTCCCAGGTAGAAAGGTGTGGCTGGCTGCTCCCATAGAGGTTTACTGTCTCAAAAACCCTTTGTAGCGTCAAACTATGAGCTGGAATCACTTGATGGCAAGTGGGTTTGAGATTGGTTTTCAGTTCACCAATATACAGCGGATAAAAATTTACCAGTACGAATGAGAGAAATTTGCAGGGCAAGCTCCTAAATTTATAAAAGAGTGAACTTGAATGGTGAACAAATCTATGAAAAGGTGTTTAACTAGACTGGTAACAAAATCAAATTACATCACAAAATTAACATCTCAGATTGGAAAAACAGCCCTTTTTTTATTTGTTATGTAACGCTTGTGGAGGGGCATAGGAAAACAGAAACTTTCATACAATCTTAGTGGAAATTTAAATGATAAAAGCAATGTGCTATAAATAAGTAAACTGATACATAGGTAACATACATTATGACCTGGCAATTTTTCTGCAAGATATACTCCCTAGAGAAATACTTGCAAAGGAACATCCAAGTGTGGGGTGGGGGGTTATGTTTTGTTTTGTTTTGTTTTCTGTCATGTAGAATAGCCTAAATGTAGAATGTAGAAATAACCTAAACATTCCACAAAAGAGATTAAGTAGGTTACATTCATTTGAATGGTGAATACTAAAGTGCAATTTACACTATATCAATTTATAATATATAAGACCACAGACATATTTCAAATGGTTCTTATTCATATAAAGCAGTAGTACCATCATTTATTCAACAAACATGTAACTAGCTACAAGTACATCAGGTATCTGGCTACAGAGCTCACAGGAAACACCAGCAAACAAATAAGCAAGATATGCAGCTGTCAGAATACAAGTGCTGTGGAAAGAAATGCAGTAAGATAAGTCTGGAATAAGCAGGGAAGTTAGAGAAAACCTGTCTGATCAAGTGGTACTGCACAAAGCTCTACAGGAAGAAGGAATAAAATGTGTGGGCCACCGGGATACTCGGAGGGGGAAAGCATTCCCAACAGAGGGACCAGCACATAATATCCAATTCGTTACAGGCAGCAGACACGAGAGTCCAGCTCAGCCCCTCCTTCCACATCTGCCACAATACAGTTTGGTCAGAACATCAGGTAGAAGCATCAGAAACCAGGAACAACTAAGGATGCCAGCCCCAACCAGAACTCTGAACGGCTGGTCCATGGGGCTGGTGAGTGGGCAAAACCTAAAAGGGGAAGGTAAGGTGCTCAGGGCTTGCAGAGGCCTCTTCATGCACTCAGATGATGAAGACTACTGTATATACTCGAGTATAAGCCAGCGCCAATATCAGCCGAGGCACCTACTTTTACCACATACAGTGCACTAAAAATGTGCTGGAAAAACTTGGCTTATACACGAGTATATATGGTAAGAGAAGGGTTTTACTCACCTTAAGAGTTACAGTCTCCGACACCCACAGGGGCAGTTCTACCCTGTCCTACAGGCTCGCTAAGAGTCAGGCTCTACTGCATGTACTACAAAGGCTTGCAGTTTGGCCGGGCTTCACTCAACATTCATTTGCTAAGTATGTCAGTCAACAGAATAGGTAGGTGCTCCCACAAGGTCAGAATCAACTTGATGACAGCGGGGCTGGGCTTGCCTTCGGGAGCCCCTGAGTGCTCCAGACGATGCTCAACTACGAGCGGAAAGGCTGGAGGTACAAACCTACAGAAGCACCTCAGAATACAGGCCTGGCAGTCTGCTTCCAGAGTCAAGAAGCCTTGAAAACCTCATGAACCACAGCTGTCAGCTGACTCACTTGCCCTGCTGGAGTCTCCACTGTTACAACAGGGAGCACCAGCAACATCAGGATCCGTGCCTCTGTGGCAGTCCTTCAAAGGCTGAGGCTTCCCAGGCTTACTCTTAGTGATCTTAGAGAAAAGAGGTTTCCCCATGATCACCTTGGTCCTTAGAACTTTTATTTACAATGCAAACCTTGATCTCTCCAACCACCTTCACCTTTCATGAACTGAGAACTATGAAGGTACAACTCAACTGGGCCAGCAGATGACTGGTCAGAGCACCATCCAGCCACGTCAATAACCTTTAGGTACCAATGTGCCACTTACACTATTTCTCCATCATCTTCATGGTTCAAGCGTTAGACTCAGTTCAAGAACTAGCAATCCCTGTTTCTTCAGAACTTTTTACACTCTTCAAGGGAGGAAAGTGAAACCTAAGACAGACATTGACTTAAAATCACCCTTTCCAATTTCTCTACCCCCAAATAAATGTGGTTCACCCATTCTGAACCACACCGTGCTAATTCTGTGTTGCTTGGAGAGGATTAGTACATTTGAATTAGCTGGATCAATACTGTATTACTAACAATTGGTGAATGAAATAAAAGCCAGGCGATGCTTTCCAAGAATGAAACTGGCTTTACACTTTGCCTCCAGGGCTGGGGATGGTTTTCCTACACCCACCTGGACAGCCACAGTCTCCTGGCCTGCCCCTGTGCCAAAAGACAGGCAAAAAACTAAGGTGACCAGGCATCCCGCTTTTGAACAATTTTTCCCGCGTCCCGCGGCGTTTTGAAAAAGTCCCGATTTTTGGAAAGAATGCACGACAAGCTAGGGTATACGGTTTTCGGCTGCCATGTGGCTATTTCGCCAGGATATGAGTTTTATCAATGGTGTCCCGCTTTACCAATGTTAAAATCTGGTCACCTTAGCAAAAAACAAACAAACAAACAAACAAAAATGTGGGAAAGTCAGAATACCTTCATCTGTCAAATCTCCCCATTCTATAGAAAGTAGATTTTTCTTTTCCTTCCTACCCTCGAATAATTTGGCCTAAGAAAGGAAGTCTGGATGTGCAAAGCAAACTGGAGGTGAGGGTCTTAAACAAAGTTACTTTTCTGGCTTCTTCTTTCACCATCTGCTACTCATTGCCAGCCTGCCTGCTTACTCCCTGACAGCACCCCACCCCACCTGGACCCCCATGCCCCAACCACTCTGGCCTACTGCATTCTTTTCCAGAGTCAAGTAAATAATCTGAGTTAACTGGGATCCAGTTAGCCACACACTGCCTCACCCGGTTCTCCTAATGTTCACCTAGGGTTGTCTCCTAACCTTGGCAGAGACAGGTGTTCTTACAACACATTCACCAGTCCCTATGATCATGTCTCTGGCTCTCATCAAAGCCAGTACATTTCTAGGGCAGAAAAGGCCAAGGGTTACAGTTTAGCTGCTTGCTCACATGTATTCTCAACAGAGCCCTTCCTCCTATAATGGATAAGGAAGCCTTTCAGGATGTGGACCTGTAGGGGGAAGGAGGCAGAACAAACTAAGAACAGTGAATGTCCTTGGGAATCTGG